TCCCCACAACCAGGCACACCACCAGTGCCTTGGGGCCCACCCTGGCCCTGAGGTATGGATCTGGTGATGAAAACCCATCCTACAACCAGGCACACTGCCAGCACCAAGGGGCATGCCAAAAACATCACCTCCATGTGGGTGGCCCACCACAGCTACCACAATAACCACGGCTGCTGCGAAAGCAGGTAGACACCACAACCACCATGCACATGGTGCACCAGCCACTGGAGTGCATTGACACAAGGAGAGTCACCAGCAGAGACCAAAGAAAAGAAGAGGATGTCTCTCTCCACAAAGCCCATTCCAGAGTGACAGAAGAAGCATCTGCTCTATGATAATATTGGGGGACCTGATCACACCTCTCAGCATTGGACAGATCATCTAGGCAACAAATAAACAGAGTAACCATTACTCTTTCAGAAGGAGAGAAGAAATCTATGACTATCAGAGCTGGGAGGGGAGAGGGAGACAGGGAAGGATTGGACAAGGGGCATAAGGAATAAGTACGATTTGTAACAATATATATGCTAGTAATATTGATTTGATCAACATATGTCAACTCTGAACCCCCAAAATATGTATAATCAAGTATGATTCAGTAAAAAAAAAATGTAAATCAGAATTTATCAGCGCACTAATTAAAAACCTCCAATCAAAATAAATTTTTAAAAAAAGACACTGGAACATTTACAGTGTGTCAGTCCCTGTGCTAAGCACTAGGGATAGAGATAAACAGGTCCCAATCCTTGCCTTCAATTCAGACGCTGAAGCCAGTTTTTACCCTGAAATTATAATGCAATACGGTAAGTGCAAAATGAATTGAATTTTATTTATTTATTTATTTATTTTTATTTGTGACCGGTAAGGGGATCGCGACCCTTGACTTGGTGTTGTCAGCACCACGCTCTCCAAGTGAGCGAACCGGCCATCCCTATATAGGGATCCGAACCCGTGGCCTTGGTGTTATCAGTACCACACTCTCCCGAGTGAGCCACGGGCCAGCCTTGGATTGAATTTTGAACGAAGAGCTTTGACACGAAGGTGGGAAATAAATTCTGCCTCTGGCACTTACAACCTAAACGACACTGGACAAATTAATCATTCCCAAGCCTGTGTCTCCACTTCCAAAATGATAAGATCTAGCGCACAGGTAGGACGTAGTAAATGACAGACTTTATTCATTATTATTATGACCTTCGGGATATGGGAGGAAAGATTGGTTCAATAAATAGAAAAACAACCAAAAGCAGTGCTCAAAGCACGTGTGAATAGGAAGTACCTATTTTTCTTGAATGAAAATCAAAGCCCATCTGACAGAGGGCCAGATTCAGTTTTCTCCTCTGCAAAATGGGCCGGGGCGGGAGCGATCCCCATCTTGCAGCAGAGTGAGAGTTCCCTGATAGTAAACGTCAGGAACCAAACACGGCTCGGGAGCAGGAGGCCACCCAGCGGGGGCTGCTCCTCTGACGTTCGGAGCAGTCTGGAGCGTCGGGCCCAGGAGGCGTCGGGATGGCGCCGCACAGCACACAGGACCCTGCTCCTCCCACCCTGCCGGGGCGCAGCCTCGGAGGGGCCGCTGCGGACACGGTCTCCCAGACAAATCACACAAACGCCCGTTGCTGGAGCCACCTGCCTCTCCGGAAGGCGACGCGGTCAGGACTCGCCTTCCTCTCGCTCCCAGGCCGGACGCCGGGTCTCCCGTAGCAACCGCGGCGGCTAGCGACGAGCGCCCAGACTCGCCAGAGCTCTCTGCGCAGGCGCGGAAAGGGCAGGCACGCGACTTCCGCTCGTCGCCCGCGAGCCAGGGGCGGGGCTTGCGTGATTGCGTCACGGGGCGGGGCCTCGGGCGGCGGGAAGAGCCGGCGCGAGAATGGAGGTGCAGGCCATCGGTAGTGGCGCGAGCGAGCGCGGGGCCCAGGACCCTGCCCCCGCCCCCAGCAAGGCCTCCGGCAGCGCCGGCCACTACGAACTGCCGTGGTGAGGACCGTAAACAGTGCGCGCATCCGGACGTGAGGGTGGGCGAGTGGCGGGCCGTGCCCCTGAGGAACCTGGGGGTCGGGGGCTCTTTTGGGGGATCCTGAGAGGGGCAGGAAGCCCCAGGGTGGCGTTGAGTAGATTTTTGTTTGGGAAAGGCTCGGGACGTGGGTCGCAGAACCCACCTGGGGTCAAGAGTGCCCGGTCTGCGTTCTACCACCGGGGTCTTGCTCAGAACAGTGCTAATGACAATAAGGGGTACCTCGCGTGACCGCCTACTCTTAGTATTAAAAAAGACTGTCATTTTTTTATATTGATGCCATGTTGAAAATAATAATACTTTGACTAGATTAGGTTCAATAAAATACTAAAATTAACTTCACGTGTTTTCTTTTTACCTTTTAATGCAGTATCAAAAAATTTTGTATTACTTATGTGGCTTGCATTCTATTTTTCCTTTTTTTGTTCATCTCTGTACTTTCTGCTTTCCTCTCCTCAAGATCCTTACGCAGTGCTGGGCACTTGGAAGGGGCTAAGTATGAAGAATAAGTAAATGAGTAGAAGCAAGCGTGCTCTGGCTGCTGGGCTTGGAGGAGAGTTGTCTCTGTTTCTCTTAGTTTGTGGCAAACAAGCTTGTTTGCAGGTAGTTACTTCTGGTCAGAACCAGTACCTGTACAAGTTGCAAGCTGAGAATAAATCAGTGTATTTAATAAAGGACAAAGGAAATTCTGAAGGTCAAATCATTGCGACTCTACCACCACTTCTATTCTCAGAGCTGGAGAAAGTCATTTTCTCTTATAACATAGTTGGCTTGTTAATTTAAAAGAGAGAATTATTGGTGTGAATAGCCTGTCCACTCTACGCAGCATAGGCTGTGGTTTTTTGTCTAGTCAGCCCTGCTGTGCACCTGGCACGTTTCTACAAAAACTGGCAGGTGAGTATGAGAAGGGCTCTGTTGCACCCATGTCTGCTAGACCAAATGATGTCAGTGCTGTGTGTACTGGGCCTCTGTTGTGATGGACACACCATACTGCTGTACAGTGTCACATTGGTCCAGCTGGCCTGCTCTGGCCCTCTCCAGCAATAACAGGTGTTTCTCTGCTGTGGGGAGTTTGAAGCCTTTGGTGGACAGTTCTCATGCACTTAACTTTTCAAATGGCATTTGGGCACCTCATTACATTTAAAACCTGCAACCATTTGGCATATTTTTATTGAATGTATATAATTTTCTGACAAAGCTCTTAGGATTGCCCTTTAGTGGTTTCTTTTGGGTAGTGTGATAGCTATGTCAACATTTTTTTATGCATTTCCTTAAAAAAAACAGGGTTGAAAAATACAGGCCAGTAAAGCTGAACGAAATTGTTGGGAATGAAGACACTGTGAGCAGGCTGGAGGTGAGTGACTTTTTAAAAGATGACCTGATGTACTTACTGTGGTTTTGACAAGCTTGAGGCATTTGGAGGAAGACAGCCAGGACAGTGAGGGGGAGGTGAACCATGAATCCAGGAGAATTGAGGGCTCAGGAGACATTCAGTTGGGGAAGATGAGAAGCTGTGGTGGATGTTTGAGGGCTGGCTTATGGAGAGGGGTCATCACACTTGCTCTTTATTCTTCTAGTGAAGGAGTGTAAACTTTCTGTAAAGGTTAGATAATAAATGTAATAGGCTTTGCAAACTTTGTAAGGTCTTTATAAACTATTCCTTTTTTATTTTTATTTATTTATTTTTTCCTTTTTGTCTTTTTTACTGACCGGTAATGGGATCGCAACACTCGGTGTCGCGCCCACACCGCGCTCAGCCAGTGATCGGGAACCGGTCTCCACATGGGATCCGAACCCTCGGCGGGAGCGCCGCCACACTCCCAAGCGGCGCACTCTCCAGTGCGCCACCGGGCCGGCCCCTTTTTTATTTATTTATTTATTTATTTATTTATTTATTTATTTATTTATTT